GCAATGGAGGATGTTTGGAGACAGGAGAAGGCTCCTCATTTCTAATACTTAACCACTTCTATTTGCTCTGTAAGTCCAATAGGGAGGCCTTAATAAGAAGCATACTGACATGGCCACTGAACATTTTTCTTTACATGTTTATTTTTAAAAACTCTCATCATTATGATAAAATTACTCACTACTTTCCCTGCATCTCCTGAGGTTTTAATATCAGGGTTTTTTTTTTTTCTGGGGGGGTGGGTTGGGGTGGTTTTTTTTTTTTTTTTTTTTTTTTAACAAAATCTCACAGCTGATAAGAGCCATGCACTAAAAGCATAAACATGAAGTTAACTTTTTTTGCACTTTACCATGTCATTCTATTCTGGTACAACGATTTCATCTGTCATCATTCCTTTCAAATTTTATTTACTTCTGTTATATTAGACTGCTTTTGTGGACTACTCCTTATCTATCAGGCTCCCTTTGCTATTCTCCTTTCCAGTACACTGCTGTCAGCTCACAACATCTTGTTCTTATATACACACTAAAACACTTCTATTGCCAAACCCTCTCTTTCAGCATGTACGCCTGACTTCCACTGAAAGCAGGAGCAGGATCACGAGTGAAATAATATATATGAAACTATTGATAAATTGACAGGATTAGAATACACAGCACAAATATGTGCAACTCTGAAAGTTATGGACTTAAAGAGGAAAAAACAAAACCAGAAAATAATTCCTGTAAATGCGTGGAAGATAAGATAAAATATTAAGACTGAAGAATGCTTTTATTCTACAGATATTACATTTAATTTACTCTATTTTTCAAAACTACCGTAACATTCTTGTCCTGGGTTCAGCAGTAGCAGTCATGTTTTTCCTTTGTGTTAGCTGGTGCAGTGCTGTGTTTTGACTTCCAGCCTGAGAACAGCGTTGGTGAAGCCGATGTTTTCAGTTGCTGCTAAGTGATGTTTACCCTGACCAAGGACTTTGTGAGGCTCATGCTCTGCCAGGGAGGAGGGGAAGCCATGAGGAAGCAGAGACGGGGCGCCTGACCCGGGCTAGCCAGGGAGGTATTCCATACCACAGCACGTCATGGCCGGGGTGGGGGGTGACTGGGAGTTACCCGGAAGGACACGGGCTTCCGGGTGGAACTCGTTTTCTTGGCCGGTGGTATCGTATTCTCTTCCCTTGTTATTTTCCCTTATCATTGTTGTAGTTGGTAGTAGTGGTGGTGATTTGTGTTGTACATTGGTTGCTGGACTGTTCTTGTCTCGACCCGTGGGAGTTGCATTTTTTTCAATCCTCCTCCCCGTTCCTCCGGGAGTGGGGGAGAACCCCGGTGGGGGGGGGGGCACGGCCCTCGATTGTTGTCAGCTCGGCACCACTCACTGGGAGTGAGTGAACAAGTTACCTGACTGGGTTTAAACCACAACAGTTCTGTAAGCAAAAGATTTGTTTTGCAGGAGAGAGAGGGATATGTCCAAAATCACAAAGAATCCAATAAAATGCCTAAACAATGTATTTCACGTTTTCACAGGCATATTTATTCTTTAATAATCACTACAATAATCTACTCCAAACATTCTGAGTTTTGCTTAAAATATAATGATTTTTTAGCATCATGTCCAGCTCATGAGATACAATTCTCCATATACTTTGGCCAATTGCTTTTATAAGATGTTCTTTAAAATTCCTTAGGAGTTAAAGAACATTTCCAGAGACTGAAAGAGAAAAGAGAAATCATTTCAGACCCTGTCCCACACCGAGCTAGTCCAGATACAAAAGGCAGTATACTAGGCTGCTGTTTAGGCAGTTTCTTTATAGTTCCTGAACCCCTAGTGATAACACATGAACTTTGTTTCAAATATCTTCTTTACTTCACCACACAGCAAAACACACCACTAAGATAAAAAATTAAACTGATAAAAAGAAATCATCAGTGAAAGTAACAATAATGAAGTTGATGAAAGAAAATGGAAGTGTAATTTCTCAAATATTCATATCTTGCTGCTATACATGTGACAATAATTGGTACAGAAAAGAATTCATTGCTACTGACTTCACAGCTTCTCTGTACCAATGTTGCCTTCCATTCAAGTGACAGAGTCTATTTAAGCCTGCTTTCCTTTCTTAGTGAAACTAGAAACATCAACTTTCCAGTCAGGAACCTTCTCATTCCTACATTTCCCTTACAATAGCAGATACTACTCATTCGTTACTTTGCTGAGTAGCCACTTGTTGGCATCATTCCCCTGTGTGAGATCCCCTTGGCACAAATACATACATGAAATTATACTTTTTACACAATCTCAACAGCAGTTGGTGATGAAAAGATGTCTGAAATGGATAAGGAAGACAGTTTTTTCATGGGTCTGAACTCTCAACTTTTCATTATGAGCTCTGTTGATTCTTAAATGATCCGAGCTTACACTAACCATCAAGGAAGCCAGAAAAGCAGGTAACTGTCAAGATGAATGTTGGCCTCCAGATGCTATTTCAAAATTATCTGATATTTCTAAAGCTTTAAAACTCCAGCAATACAAACCAGATTTATGGAAAGATATACTTTATGTGTTCCATCTGAAACACTAAATAATTCCTGGTCAGACTGAGAAGACTTCTTTTATTGCAGTAGATCAGTTTCTTTTTCAAATATATGAGAGTACTTACCAGCTGTAAAGCTGTAGAGCAGTCTTCTGTGATTTCAACAGTCTCAAAAAGAATTAGATGCCTGCTTCTGCTAGTTTTATATCCATTTTGGGAAGATGTTTCCCTTAGACATCTTACACTAACTGCCACAAAGACTTGTACAATAATCCAAAGGCAAAATAGTAACCTTTTATGACACAAAACTAATCTAAATCCCCTCTGCCTCTTCCCAGTGAAGGCAGAAAAACAGTAAATAGGAGGAGAAATCTGCTTTATTGCCTTAAGTGCTGGTGTTGGCTCGGGTAGAGTTAATTTTCTTCATAGCAGCTGGTACGGGGCTATGGTTTGGATTTCTGCTGAAAACAGAGTTAATAATTCAGAGATGTTAGCATTGCTGCTGAGCAGTGCTTACATGGAGCCAAGGCCTTCTCTACCTCTCTCACCAACACACCAGTGAAGAGGCTGGGGTTGCACAAGGAGTTGTCAATGCTAAAAGGTAGACATGGCTTCAGGAGACTGGTTTTAAACTCTGAAGTACTTTGTTCAGTATGTCAGGGAAGGAGACTGAACCATAAAAAGCACATTTTTGTTTAAACTTTATGCAAATACAATGCTCCTCTTTAAACTTTGAAAGAAAGTTAGCTTAGTTGCTGCTTATAAACTTTGTATCAGTCCTGAATGCAAGGCTTGGAGAAAACACAGTTAATGGTCATTTTATATTTTATACAAAACTATAAAAAATACTTTGCTTTAGCACAAGGAAATGCCTGTCACTATACAGAAATTATCTGTTACTAGATTTTCTCTGTAGCAGCCTTCCCTCCTATTAAAAATATTTAATGCTCTGTAACAGTCTAAACACTTCAGATTCTGCATTGTTTTTTCTGTCGCTTAGGCCACATATAACATAAAAGGCTTTGTTTAATTAATCAACAAAATCAAATAAGAACATCCATTCTTATTTCTGTCTTTATTCAGCTAACGTTGCATAAAAAGACAAAAACAAAAAGATAGCTCTGTGACCACAAAAACTCTTATTGCAGTGGTTTAGGTTAAGTATCCCTGCCCATGGCAAGCAGTTGGAACTAGATGATCTTTTAAGGTCTCTTCCAATCCAAACCATTCTATGAAACTATGATAACCCCTTCCTGTCACTACTGAAGTTATATTTTCATGTCCCAGATTTCTGATCTGTAAAAACAATTACCTATAAACCTATCTAAAAGTTATTAGATAGATATTATAGAAAAGTTTTCTAAAACCACCCCATGAAATGGAATCTGGGAGATCACATCAATGTACCTGTGTACAGGAGTTCCTGTAGGAATGGTGACAATGAATAAGCCTTACAACAGTTACATGACTCTCATGAAAACTGCATTCAACGTTCAAGTCACAAACTGCAAGAGGCATAACAGATGACAGAGCTGTATAATGGCCCACTGAAGAATACATTGTATGTAAAGCACAGGATCTTAAAGCAATTTAAGAATTTCTGGGTTTGTAGTGTGCGATTATTCATGTCTTTATATAACAAACATCAGAGAATCACTGGTAAAAACTAGGCTGCTGAATAACACTATTTCCAGTGCGTGAAGAATTAAAATATTTAGGATTTCCTGAGGTTAGTCTGTTCGCCACACATTTACAAGCAATTATGCTTAATGGAAAGGACAATTAAGGGTCTCCCAGAGCAGAGCAGTAACAAAAACTACATGTTTTGAAATGAAAATCCATCCTAATTCTTTGGCATTATAGTGGACAAACTGCTGTAGGAAATGCACTGTGAGGAATACTGTGATTAGGTAACTACTAAGCAAGGTAACATGTCAGTTTCACCAGGGAAGATGGCTTTTCTAGTGCTTTAGTTGAGGGTCCCGAAAATACTCTTACATTCTCCTGTACACAAGTGAATTTTATCTTTCTCTCGCTGTGAAAGTATCATTTGGATTTTGGTTACATGGAGAATCCTACCCTTTAGATTATTCACTACATGAACATAGTTCTTCTAAACTCTCATAATTTCCTGCGGCCTCCCAGCTGACATGAATTTCACACCATGCTGGGAAACCTACGTCTTAAATTCTGTGCAATACTAATTTTTTTTAAAAGTCCACTGCCTTTTAGCTTTAGTTTAGTTGACAGAAATCATTAGAACCCTAGATTCTATATAATCTTGGTCACTTTTGGTACAGAGAATTCCATTCACTGATTCTGCAGGTCAAACTATAATATTCCTATATTATTTCTTTTACATGAGATGCCCATTTAAGATGCAATTTACCTAATCCCTGAAAATTATATCTTAAAAATATTTAAGCACATTCTGATAATTGATACGATTTAATAAAAGTTTGTGTCTGTTACCTTTAAAGACGATTTGGTCCGAGTTTCTGTTTTCTGCCTGGTAAGCTTGTTTTGAAGAAGCAATGACTGATCTGTACGAGCATCATAATTTCCATGTTCTGAATCATCTGCGTATGTGTCTTTTTCCTTTCCTATGCCTGAAGGAAAAACAGAAGAAAACAGTGGACTCATTTTAGGTTACAGAAGAGAGAAACTAACAGTATTGTTAAAGCCAGAGTTGAATATTCATTTTAGTTATCCAATTTTTAATAACTTTTAGTCTACCCCTTCTTGCAAAAGTTTTTACTTGAAATGCCATCATCTCTGTCTTAAGCTAGAAGTGACTTCTCTTTTTAGTAGAAGGCCTATAGAAACATTTCTGTTGCCATTCCAATTGAAAAAGCTCACAACATTCTTCACAGTACCTAAAAAAAAACCCAAACAACCCAACCCCGACGCAATATAAAGCAAATATTCAAATGTTTTTGTGCTTGACTCACACTTGTTCAGACTCAGAACATGTTGTCAAATAGGAAGTGCATCTTGCAGACCTGAGTAACCTCCCATGCTTTAAATTTAAACAAGCAACCAAAATGCCTGATGGGCCTACACTCATGCTGCTCATACTTGGATACAGTATTTGAAAATTTGCATATTAAGGTAACCACTCAAGAACACATTTTAAGAGGCTTCCCTATCAGTGGTAGAAGACGGTTAACACCATGAAGAAAGTGTTTACATTGGATTTTTAATAGCTCAACAAAAGTTTCTATTAAAACTTGCGTATCCAAAGAGAGCTGCAGATGACTGAGGACCATCCTCAAAGCTTACAAAGATCCGCTCTCACAGACTAAATTTCACCTGAATCATCACTGCAGGCAAGTTAGAAGGACTCAAGTCTCTGGGTCACTCTAGAGCCTCTTTCAGAAGGCAGACATTTTCCAGACATGTAATTTCCTTGCACATTCTCCATCAAAAAATCATGACAATACTTATCATACCTACCCAGCAGAGGTAAAATGAGGGGTAATGTCTGTGCAATGTTGGACCATGTAAGTTATAATGAATGTTGGAAAATGGTTAGTCTTGAAAAAAATATTTTAAAGATGAAAAAATGGAATAATTAATCCCACACAATTATATCTTGGACAAGTTGAAAATATATATTCAGACAAAAAGTTATCCACAAATACTGACTTAAGTTCCCATCTCAGCTTTCACATCAACATGGGAAAAGTCAGGGGGACTGGGAATAGCATTTAGCCCAATTATTCTAAATGCTAAATAAGATGCCAAGAAAAAAGTCATAGTTGCTGTGGGAACCACAATCTTGAGCTTCCCAAATTTTATATTCATAAAAGCTCATCTGCAACAACAAAGTATTTTTCAATAAGCTGTTCAGTTAAATTTTCTAGAGTAAGTACTACAGAAAAGAAACCCCAAACAACAATTATCTCACATAGCCTAAATATTTCTGAGATGGAACATCACACCGGAACATTTACCAAGGGCTGTTCTTTCTGAAATTGAGCTATTTGAATAATGATTACACAAAATGAGGCCCTGCTAATTTGTGATTTTGATATTAACCTCAGTACATCTGTGGAGGGATTTCTTAATATATGAAATAGCCTGTTTTAATCGTTAGTGCACCAAACTCAGGGGTTTTATTTTAAGCAATGTTTTAATCTTAGTATACAGGTTATTCTCTGGTCCACAACAATGAATGCAGTAAAAAAGACTGTGAAGTAGGTTTCAAGTAGGAGGTATACAAAGCAGAAAACAGGATAGTTAAGCAAGATTTTATTCATGGCCAGATGTGATGAGCTCTCAGCTTTAGTAAAGATCAAGCTTTGCAAAAATATCTAATGTTTTTTCAACTTTTTAAAGCCATGAAACAAGCTTTCCCTTAGCAGTCAACATACTTTTACCTGCTAAGCATTTCATTATGTTTTCAAGGACACAGCATTGAAGTGTAGCATATATTTTCCATTAAAAAAAATAAAAAATTGCTACTTTCCACCTGCTATCTCTGTCTGAAATGTAGCAGGAAAGGGTTTTAGCAACAAAGAACCCCATAAAAATACATTTAGAATTAAAGAGGTGCGTTTCTTACATGAAATTGAACAATACTTCTTACTATATCTATGAGGAGCTGATGACTTATTCTATGCACCTAAAGCAATGTCCCACAAAGTAAAAAAGGGAGGAAAGAAGGAATGAAGATTAAAACATACCATTTAAACACAGCACTTGAATAAATATTTGTTATACCTGTCTGAGAGACATAGCACCTAATCCATATTTTAGGATTACCTTCAAAAAGTGCATTTTTCTTAACATTCCTGTAGTTTGAGACATTAACGTTAACAGGACACCTAAAGTGTGCTTTGTAGATACTTTGAATAGACTAGCGCCATTTACCTCTTCTGCAGCATATATTTTAGAAAAATCTGTAATATAAATAAATATGCTCAAGGTAAAAATTCAGTGGATTACAACATATCTCTATACCAGAAGAGGTTGGAAAGAACAGCTGCAAAATGTGTGTGTTTTAGTTGGCTCATTTTGTTTCTTAAGCTGAGCTTTTTTGAAATTTCTTTTGATTAAAGAACAGAGAATGAAACAAGTTGGGTTTACAAAAAAGCAGAAATGAAGCTTTGCCACCAACAGCATTGACTATGGATTTGTATTTTTCTACAATGGGGTGCTTTTCCTGTAATAATGTATCCACCACTTTTATCAAAAAAGAAAGTCTCTCTTCCTTAATTTTCCCACCCATCAAGCCAAAATTACATACTGTTAAACTTACAGAACCTAAATTAACTTGAGCTGATTGTTCCTAGCATCACCAAAGCTTATCACAAGACAGTGATTTAACTCCTTAAGTCTTTCTTCAGTAACTGCAGTTTCTAAACTTGTGTTAACATTTTTACATATTTGTCTACAAAGTGACACTATTTTCTGCCATCATTTCCTCCACATTCCCCATTATTTGGCTTTGCATTTTAACTGCCATTTTGCTGATGTATTTGAGTTATTATGTTAATTAAAACTTGTGGTAGTTGAGAGCTTTTTGAAGTGTTGTCACATAAAAACTTTTATTTAAAAAAAATCATTAAGGCTGAATTTTAAATAACGATGAGGATATCAAATCAGAGAAAAGGACTACAGCTTCTAATTCCAAAGGCAGAGACTGAATCATATTTCAGTGAAGACAATGCAAATCCACTATTCAGTAAGTCAAGGACTTCTCTTTAACTGGGTACATACTTAAAACAGATTCACCCATATATATATCATTGTGAGCACAGCTGAACATGTAACTAAGTAATGCATACCCTCACCTTGGATCCACACTCAAGTATAAAGTAATTTGAAAAAGATTCAAGCATTAATCAATCAGATAACAGATCTCTCCATCCCAGTAGTTGCTTTGTTTTGCTATCTTGTAATATAGAGACACGATGAGTCACTTCAGCCTTCATACATCACAAAACCTATCTACACTTGGTGACATACAATTTTGCTGTGCTTGATACATGACATTAAGATTTGCCCTAAGGGCACTTGTACGATAAAATGTAGTAGAAACTTTCAGCTCTGGGAGTCTTTTACCTCCCTATGCAGAAGCACTTTGTTTAAATATTGATTACAAGGTCCACACTTCACATTTCCATTTTTGAGTCTTAAATGCTTGACTACCATTCTTTCCATCATACTTGCCTAAAGGACCAAGAGTGCATTTTATTTATAACAGTTAGAGGAAAAAAAACACCCGTAACATGCAATCCACCAATATGTTTCGGATAACTGGCACAGAAAAGCAAGTATTCCTCAACTGCAATGTGTCATACTTGGGGAAAATTAATATTAAGATTATTCCTAAATAGTTTCTGTTTCACAAACAGTGATATGATGACTCCTGACTCACTTCTTTAAGGCTTTACACATTTGCAGATGGGCCTTGAAAAGCTTTTGTAAGAAGAGATTATTGGTCAATAAATTCACCCCCTTTTGTCCTAATTTTAGTTCTAGAAACAACAAATAACCTGGAGAAGGATATCACTGGACACCTGGATAAATGGCATTGTGATGGATTTACATCTTATTTTATTCTGCTATGTACCTGGAATACTATATTATATACATAACATGAAAGGTTTTTCAGTTACCTATGTATGCGTGTTTAGATATCAAAAAAACTACTATAACAGACAAGCGCAGAGTTTTCTTAATGTACAATTTCTCATGACCTTTCAGACAATGATAACAATTACACAGAGTATTTCTCATTTTTTAAAAAGGGGAGTCAGGTAGGATGGCTGTTTGGAGGAGTTAAGAGGGTGTACAGAATCGCAACAGGGAGATTAAATGCCTAAAGCACTTTGATATTTTGAATGTCAATATTAACTCCAAAGACTAATCCTTACTACGTTTTGGCAAGCACTATGTTCATAATAGAGCACAGCTTCTCCAACCATGCTGCCAGCTCTCCAGGCAGGAAGCTCTAATATGGAAGATGGACAATTCCCTCACAGACCAGGTATAGGAAAAACTGACCTAATGCAGCTTTTCAGCCATCTCACAACATAGAATAGATGTGACAGCTCTTACCTTTGCAGGTATTGCCTAAGGAACACAAGCATCTGAACAAATGATTCTAAAAGTCACAATGGAAACATCACATTTCTGTCAAAGCAGAAACTGAACCTGGCTTTCTGGAGTCACATCTTCTGTCATTTCTCAGCCCCTCCTTTCATGTCAATATTGTATGTATTGCATAGGTTATTCTGTCTGTTTTGGTTTATCATAACATCACTTAACCAAAATTCACTTTCAAGGTCTTCTGTAATAAAAAGATGAAAGTTTTTATCATGCAGTCATGCTGATACTTTGTTGGATTGTTAATTTTGATTCAGGTCTTAATTTCTCAGTTCACTATGTTATATCATGGCATGTAATTAAGGGAGTTTCTTACACATAAGCTTTGTAATAATTAGAATCAGGACACATGAAGACTATAAGGCTGTAGGAAAATTATGAACTACATCATTCATGATCAAGTTCCTATGCAGGAAGGATTTAATTTCATGCTAAGGAGGATTAGTTACTATGCCTAAATCCTTCATAATTAACCTAATTCACAAAATAAAAA